TGTCACTGCAGATAGAGGGGGAGGGCTTGCAGGCAGATGTGGGGGGGTGTCATATATTACCTTTTTTTATTTTTTTAAACTGTGCACTTGGAGTGCATATACAGAAGGAAAGGAGGATTAATTCATGTGATCATGAGTCAATTTTTAAAAATCAGATTATTACTATATTTAATTTTTAGTTGATGACACTGTGATTTGCAGCATTTGCCACATTTAAACAAACTTTAAATAGTTATTGTAGAATGAACTGGATTTCTTTTTTTTTTCTCGTCTTTATTTTGATTCTGACGAAGAAAATCTAAAGTGCAGCATTCAAGGCTCTTCAAGTTTTTGTTCAAGTATTTTGTCTCTTTAAAAGCTAAATTAAATATGCTCTAAACCACCATTTCTTTTATAACGAACCACTAAATTGAAGAATAGAATTGTTGCCTCATCACGCAGTTTTAAGGAAAACAAAAGTAAATTTTTCTCCGTACGTGGCGTTCCTCCTGGTTTAGAATTCCTGACGCCGCTTCAGTTCCTGTAACTGTGAACGACGACTTCGTGTTCTTATATTTCTTCACTATTGATCTGCAGCGATCAGGCTTTCCACCTGCTGCGTGTGTGAATAGGTGGCGCGGTGACGAGAAGGAAATGCATTAAGAGCAGGACCACGGCACGCCTCTCGGGACGACAGCAGGATGAACAAGGAGCAACTCGAGTTTATTTATCAGAAGAAATTTAGTTGTGGTTTTCTGTCGAGTGCTTGCTAGGACCAAGTTCAAAGGTCAATAAATCCATACGTTGTCAGCAAGGTCTCTGAACTTCAACCCTGCTCGGTGACCTTCACAAGATTTACTCGAGTCTCTCTTAACTTGTCAAGTCTTTGCATTACACCTAATGTCTTGTTTAGGATAATAAATAAACATGTTCACGGTACAGCTTCAAAACAACTTGGACAGAGGCAGGTTCACAGCTTTAGTTAGCAAATATAATCAACCGCCTCAACATTTTAGCTGCTTATTATGACATTTAATGAGCCCGATTTAGACTAACTAAATGTAGCTAATCCTGAAAAACACATCCATGGTTCCCAACACTGGTCCTTGAGGAACACCATCCTGCTAGTTTCAGTTGTTTCCTGCTCCAACACGCCCGATTCAGTGATTTAATTACTTCAAGTTCTGCAGAAGCCTGTTAATCATCCATTCATTCAAATCAGGTGTGTCAAAGCAGGGAAACGAGTAAAACATGCAGGATGGTGTTCCTCAAGGACAACTGTTGGGAACCACTGCTTTAAATCATGAATTTTAGGCTGCACGTGGTTTCCAAGCCAGATGGTTCATTTCTTCTTTAGTAAGAGTGATAATCCTGAGTTCTTAAAACAGGTGAGTTTTAATTTTAGTGGCCATCAAAGACCTGGATTAGAGGTTTTAGAGGTTTCTCTGGACCAACAAACCCGATTTGAATCAATGGGAGATTAACAGTCTCCTGTAGAACATGAATAGAGGCCCCTTGACGTGACATGGGCTGTCTCTCTTCGGTTCTCAAAACGGCAGACGCTCGGTGTGGTTTGAGCTCTTTAGCGTTTTTCACACAAAGCTTTTAATAAAAAAAATCCGTAAACAAGTTCTCAGCTTCTTTTTGCAGAGATAAACAACTTTTTACACAAAGGTACGAGTTTCAAATGTGAATTTTGGAACTTCGTCAAGACGGAGGTTTTTTCCTCGAGGTCGGCCTGTTAGCTTAGCTTCTTTTAACGATCCAAAAACATGATTTTGGATCGTTAAAACCAATTTTAAAGAGAAGGGGGCGGGGTCAGTGAAGAGCACCGGAGTTGATCCTTTTGTCATCCAGTGTCTTCAGTAGAAAGAGACACACGAAGAAATTTTAATTTCATTTATCATGCGATTAATTCATTTACCGTTTATCGCGACAGGCCTCGTTTGTACGGGAAGTTGAACCGGCGACCTTCCGATCACAGGCCCACCTTCTCTAACCTCTGCGCCACCGCTCTCTCGTCATGTTATTGAATGCATGACACAATACGCTGCTCTGATGCATTACGTTCAGCAGTGTTTTCATCCGTTGGCTGTCTTTGCACACACTGCTCAGCTGAAATCAGCAGCAGTCTCTGGATGCCCCCCCCCATCACTCAGGGTGTTTAATGGTAAACTGTCAGCCCAGTCTAGTTATCTCTGTTACTGTACACCTGTCACTGGGAGGTGACGCACACTTCAGCTGCTGGAGGACACGTTTCATCAGCAGTACCGGCATCATTGTTGCTGCCTGAGCTGGAGGAGGAGTCTGAATATTTTGTGGTGCGGTGTTTAGACACGACGCCGTTTTCACATTAATCAGGCAACAAGGTCCTCCAACAGCCATCATTTATGGATTAAAACAAGTCTTTACCCACAAATCTGTCTGCTGAACAAAGTAATTTGTGATAAAGTCAATAAATAGTCTGGTTAGTTGTTGCTTATTGTTGGTCATTCAGAGAACACCAAAACTGTCAACTTTTCATTTTATTTTGAAAAGCATAGATTTGGCAAGTATTTCAGAATACGGTTTGTTAAATAGGAGGCGCAGCGACATTTTTGATGTGGTTTCACGTTTGAATGTCACAAAGAAATGTAATTTCATTGAAGTACATTTCGTGTTTATGATTCGATGCAGCGAAACAAATTGAAACGTTAACGGATCATTGTGGTACTAGATTTATTTGCGTAATGACTTTAATTGCTGGATGTCAGAAACTATTCCGTCTTAAACCGGAGGCTCCGACACGACTGAGCCGTTCGTCTTCGCTCAGGTTTGTTGCGTTTCTTCAGGATTCAGATTCCGCACGGTTTTGATTTATTGCCGAGTTTTGCCTTTTTATTATTTACGACGCAAAACTTCTTTATTTTTCTGTCTGAACCGTGTTTAATTTGTGGGAATTGGGCGTGCGGCTCTTTAGAAGCCCAGTGACCCAGTTCAGATCCAGGTCCATCACTGGGGATTTATTCACAAACAGTTCTGTCTTTACTGAAGATTATGATCATTTCAACTTTTACTGGTTCAACAGCTTTACTGCAGCATGTTTTTACTGCTCACAGTGGGTTTATTGAGATAAATATAATTAGTTTGCTGGTTTTTAAAGTGTCGTCACAAATCAACAAGACAAATTAATGTTTCACATTTGACTCTGAACCCTCCATGATCACAATACAATGTATTTATAAATAGATGAAACCTGCCATCCCTACGGGAGACTGCCCTTTGTGTTAACACATCATGTCGTATATCGTTATCAGTAGTTACTTTTATCTTGGTAACTTTAATTAATTGCACAAAAGGTTTATTAGCTTCATACAAATCAAAGGCATCTCTGATATTTGCATCATTTGAATCTTAGCATGTTTATCAAAGAAGCTAATTTGCTAAATCATTTGGATTTTCGGAAGATGCTTCGTCTCCTAACTTGCCTTAAGCAGGACCATACGGAAAGAAACGATCAATTTTGATTTAATTGTGTTGGTTCCAAGGGCCTTCGTTATGGGTTTTGCTCGTTTAGTTTCTGTGCATGCACGGGGTTCCTGTAAGTGACGGTTCCAAAACGTATTCACGCGTTTGTCTTTATCTGCTCTTCAGTCACGTCTGAGCCAGCTCGGCTGCAGACGTGCAGATTACATGTAAACTGTAAATGAAGTCCTTTTTACTCTTTAAACTTCTAAACCCCTTTTTTGTGTTAATTTCACCATTTTCTGATGTGCAACTTGCAGCATCTTAAGATTCGCAGCACTCCTCCCTCGGAGGAGCGTCTAGTTGGAAATTAGAAGAGAAAACGAGCCTGACAGGTGCTCGTTTTTATTCTGGGTGATATCACTCATCAGACTGGATCCGCTGAGCGAGCAGACAGTGTTTGGTGTCTAATTTACTTCCCTGCAGACCCAAACGAGGTTTTTTTTTTTTTTTTAATGAGTACTGATGGTGCAGAGACGATGCAGAGAAGTGCATGTAAATGACTGGAGCGTAATTGTTCTTTTTATTTCCTTTAGTCGTCTTTGTTTAAAGTGCAAGCCGCACGCTTTGCTTCGTTTTATCTCTTAAAGTTTCACACCATCAGCTCAGAGGGGTCGGAGCTAACCAGCCCAACGATGCACATGGACCGGCTGCTTGCTGGTAATTATCAGCTGTCGTGTTTGAAGAGACATTCAGGTTTGAACGGTGACCGTAGTGATTTACTGCTGATTATTTTTAACTATACGCTCTTTTAATATCAAGGAACCAGTGACACGAGTTGTTGAACATGTCTGATGGTTCAGGCTGCTTAAATGTGCTTAACCAAGTGTCATGTAGCGTTTTCATCACCCAACCTGCAAAGTCAAGGTCAAAGTGAACATTTAGAATAAATGTATTATTTTTTTAATTATTATTATGTTATTTTGGGGTTGAAAGTCCTATGAAAAAGATGTTTTTGTGTTTTATTTGTGCAACAAATTAGTTATTCCATTTGTTTCTTAATAAAAGTGTCTTTTAAATTTAAATCGGGCATCAGTGTCTTATTTGAAAGTTACTTTTTTTTTTTTTAATTCCAAGGGAGTGTATTAAATATAAACGTACAGTTATCAGAATTAAATTCTTCAGTGGGTCAAACAATGTGTAAATTCATAATTTCCTGCTCAGTGGAGGCACTGCCATTAAATTAAGTACAAACATTAAGTTGTATCTCCTGTAGTATATCTTAAAAACTTTCCCAGGGCCCCGACCAATGTGCTACGTTTCAATCGAACCTACTGGTCAACTCTTTAACTACATGGTGTGGGCGCTACACAAGTCGAAATAGAATAAATAAATTAATTTAAAATACGGTATTTGCTTGTTTGGGTCAAATTATTCTGAGCGGATCAGACATTGTAAGGAACTTCAGACACGTTTGTACCAACGTTCATCCTTCTCGATGGCGTCTTGAGTCGGAGGCTAGCGGCTCGTTCCGTTGACGTGTGTTTTTTTTTTTTTTTGTCGTTTCGCTTCTCCAGGTGTGGATGCTGTCGTCGGTGGAAGCTGTGAAAGTGTCGCCTCTCGTAGAGAAAGTCGTTGACCACAAAGACTTCAAGAAGCTGCTCAGGACGAGGACCAACGTTCTGGTGCTCTACACAAAGACGGGTTAGACAAAACAATAATCTCGTAATCTCAAATTATTCGAGCTTATACATTTCAGCATGACTGAAGAAACTTGTAAAGGAAGTCCAAACATTAATTTGTTTTATCTGATGTTTTTATTTGGGGAGTGGTGGCGCAGAGGTTAGAAAAGATGGGCCTGTGATCGGAAAGTCGCAGGTTCAACTCCCGGTACTGTCGTCAACATCAAAATGTGGGTGGAAAAGGTGGAACGCCCACACCTGCCTCCACCCTCATTTGCACCACTGTGGGCCCCTGAGCGAGACCCTTAACCCCCATTTGCTCCCAAAAACAGGTCTCTCTTGAAAATGAGTTCTTGTGACTCGATGAGACTTCCTGTATAAATAAAGGTCATTTTTGTTTTTACCTGATGTACTACTGGTAAATTAAACGTCTTTATAGATTCTTGTTGAATATGATGTTTCCATACCAGTTCCCCCACCACCCCAAAACTGGTCAATCTTCACAGGAAACCAATTTACTTTTAAATTATTGACAAAAACATGGGATATGGGCTCTAATCGAACTCGGTTTGTTTGATTGTGTCCTGTGAATCACGTCAGACGTTCGTGACAACACTGCTCAACATTTAGTTTCGGCTACATGCCTGTACTGGATGGTATTGCCTTCCCCTGTGGGGAAACGAAGTCGCTGTATAATGTACACCCTGATTTAAACAGATGAACTTAAATCAGCCACCTTCTTATGATTGGATTACCCAAGATGCAACATAATCCTAGGTATGAGAGGGACCAGTACCCAGTCGGTATTTGCTCACAGATGTTTGTTGCCAACCCTGTTGGATACGTTACCCTGGGGAGTCCTTGCGATGCTTTCACATCTAAAAATACTTTTGACCGGCAGCACTGGGAGAAATGTTTCACTTTATACAGTAAATAAAACACATTTCAGGGGCGTATGAAAGGAACTGTGTTACATAGGGAGTGGAATATTAACTTACTCTACCCAAGGGAATCCACTTTGCTTTCCATGTCTGACGTAAATCTGAACGAATAGACAAAGTGACCACGGCTGTTGCGTTTTCTTTTTGCTAATGCAGAAAGTAAAACGTACGCCACAGTTGTGTTTTATCTCAGACGCAGGAGGTTGTGAAGTTCTACAACTGTCTAATAATCGCGTGCCTGGAACGAGTCCAGATGGCCGCGAATGGTTCAAACTACAGCTTCCTTCAATCTGCTTTTCTTCTTCGTATCTCAAACGGTTGATCTGCTTCAGTAGTTGCCGCCTTTGTCACGATAAAACCGTTCCACCTCATGGACACAGTGACACTATTGTGAAATGATGAAAGCTGATGTAACATAAGCCCTGTTTTAGAGTCTGCCTTCTGAAGGGTTTTTACAGAAGGCTCTTCAGGCACCCCTCTAAGCCAAACGGATCTCTTTCTGTCACTCGGTGCTTTCGTGAGACAGAGCTCAGCTGTAACTCAACTCCTCGAGGTGTCCTTTGTGTCTCACAGGTCTGGATTATCCTGAACCAGCTGGAGGATTTTACCAACGAGGCTGACCGTTGTATTCTCTGTCCACAGAGTCATCGGGGGACTCCCACCTGAAACTGCTGTCTGATGTTGCCCAAACTGTCAAGGGCCAGGGGACTATTGCCTGGGTCAACTGTGGGTAAGTAATGAAGTAATTACAAATAAATCTCCATCTTTTCAATAGTTCCAGCTCCGTTCTACCTCTTTTGTCCAGGGAATTTTCCAACAGCCGTTAAAAAGACTAAATTTAAATTTACTCCTGCAAATGTCTCTGCTTCCGTTCGTCTGCTAATTTTACGGCTTCTTCGCTGAGGTGCAAACGGCTCGTTCCACTGGTCCTATTGTACGGGCACAATTTAAAAGACATTGTTCACTTATTAGGGCTGCTGAAGCTCTGCTGCTCATATCTTTATATCATTTCAGTCGTCCACTTTGGGAGACCATTATATTTTGTGTATGTGTGTTGGGAGAGATGTTGAACAGTAAGTTCGTTTTGTGATTGTTTCCGCATTAGCTTAAACATAACACGTACATGTTCTCGTTGTTTCTCGATGCAATGATAATAAAGCTTATTCTGATAGATAATCTTTTGTTGTAAAATCTCTATTTTTCACTGCATGGTTTTGTTTGAAAAACAACTGGTATTATGGTTGTGCCTCTCTGGTTTGTGGTTGATGCATTGCGTGTCTTGATACGCCGGAAACATTCATGAGCTATAAAAATGGATATAATAGTAATGATGCGTTGTATCATCGTTGTATGTTCCCATACAATGGTGGAATTGGCTCTCTGCGTTTAACACATCCACCACCAAGTGGAGCAGTGGGCAGCTTTTGAAAGTGTCCAGGGAACATTTGGGGATAGGGCGTGCTGCTCAGAGACACCACGAGATTTGCAATGGCTGGGGATTGAACCTGGGACTTTTGGGTCCCGAGTCGGCTGCCTTGCCTCTGCTCCATCTCGGCCCCCATGGCACTATGATGAAGCCCCCACTCGCATCGTGATGCGTTTCATTATGAGTTTTGATTCAACGCGTTGAGATTCAGTACGATATGACAAAGGAAAGGATTGAAAGTATAGGGTTTAAAAAAAAACGACCGTAATTGCCGGTCTATGAACAGACTTTGAACCCCGCGGTTTATACGATGCTGCAGCAAGCTTCCTGCTGCCAAAAACACTTAGCTTCATCACACCCAGGTGTGCGCGTAGCTGCCCAGTGCACGTATCTTTAGGTCGAGGTCAAGGTTTCCTTATTGTCATTCTCATCACGTGGTTCATGTGATGGACGGGGTGGATAGGCGGTGGGTCTTCGTGACGCACGCAGACTGAGTGAACCCCACAGTTCTTCATGACAACTACCGGCCTCCCTCTTGGTGACTCTACTGAATGTCCTCACACAAATTAGGGCTGGACGATACGGCCAAAACTTTTATCACGAGATATTTCTTAATTTCGGTCGATAACGATATAAACAATATAAAAGCCTCAGAAAAGCTGTTCAAACTGTACAAATAATTTAATGTTCACCTTTTATTTGTATTTAGCCTTAAAAAAAAAATTGAAATCACCGTCAAATAAACATAAAACTCTCAACTTTGTCAATATTAATAGTTTAAACTTTAAACAAACCCATAGTTGATGCGACACGCTTGTTCACTTTACAACCATCTAAGATACTATAACACGCTAAGAAAATCAGAGACGTGTTCATCAGATCGATTGTTAGCTAATGATTCAGCTAATTAACTCATCCTTTCTCGTTTCTCCTCTGCAGAGTGTGCATGTGACATGTAAACAGGAAGGTATCTGAGAAGATGCTTTTTGTTTGAATGCGAATTTAAAAAGAGATGAGGGAGAATCGGCAGAACTGCGATCTTAATTCGTACAACATTGTGTAGTGGACTCGGCCTCCGACCAAAACCTGCCTCTGAAGACCTTCATGGGACAGGAACTGTTATTTCATTGATTTGAATCCAGAAATACAAATTAGCTCATCCAGAGACTTTCTAATTGTATCCTGAACTAATCAATTGAAAGAACACTCTTTTTTTTTATATCATCAATACGGTTTCACAGTTGATTTAAAATGAGTGGTTCACTTCAACATTTAAAAATGGTATGAACTAAACACACTTTTGATTATCAAGATATTGTAAAATAGTAATGATGGTATAAAAGAGTGTTCTTTCAATTGATTAGTTCAGGATACAATTAGAAAGTCTCTGGATGAGCTAATTTGTATTTCTGGATTCAAATGAATGAAATAACAGTTCCTGTCCCATGAAGGTCTTCAGAGGCAGGTTTTGGTCAGAGGCCGAGTTCAGTACAATTGTTTTTCATATTTTCTAAAAAATATACAGCCCTATTGTAGATTAATAAAAGGGCCTACAGGACTGTACATTTGATATGCATTTTTAATTTTTCAGCTTTTTTATTGTTTCCTGTTGAAACGACTCTTCACCTACTAATTACCTTTAATTTGATTTGATCTGTGCAAACCTGCATCAGTTTATTGCTGCTGTTTTAACAATGCAGTGCTTTTATGCTCATGAACATCTGAATGAGTAAAACATTGGTTGCGCTTCACATCTTCACATCACATTTATTGTCTGAACCTTTATCTGTTGTTTGTCTAAAACAGGTCTCTTTTGTAAATGAGTCCCGTGACTCAGTGAGACAAACCGGTAGAACTAAAGGTTGAATTCATCTTTTAATTTTAGGGATTCAAACCAGCAGAACAAATGGGTGTTCCACCGACCGAGCCACAAACAAACGTCGGCTTCATTCCACTTCGTAAAAATGATACATTTTTGTTTTTTGTTCTTCAGAAAGGAACGTCGACTCTGGGCTCTTCTATAAATTCAGGCCGTCTCTTCTGACAGAACAGACATTTTAACAGTCAGACCGAACAAAAGGAATTTGTGTTTTAGCTTCTTATAACCTATTTATTTTGTTGTAAGTCAATTATAAGTAGTTGTTTTTCTAATTCCATCAAGAAACGGCATCCACTTCTGAAGGTTTTTAACAACATTTTCCTAGCCACAGACGCAGGTGATTCTGTGCTGCTTGTCCTATTGGACCTTCCATCTGCTTTCGACACCATCGGCCATGAGATCCTTATTTCTAGGATGGAGCAGTGGGTGGGCATCACAGGGTCAGCCGTCAGATGGTTTAGGTTCTACCTCTCTGACAGAACCTTTTGTGCCAATATCAAAGATTTCAGTTCAGCATCGACAGCACTTCAGTGTGTGGTACTGCAGGGGTCCATCCTCGGTCCCCTTCTATTTTCTCTATACCTGCTGCCACTAGGTGCTATTTTCCACAAACCCAACATATCCTTTCATTTCTACGCCGATGACTGTCAAATTTACTTCCCCCTGAGGCACACACTCTATTCAACCTCTCCTTGACTGCCTGGCTGACATCCGAGACTGGATGACTTTAAACTTAAGTTTCAATGAGAAGAAGTCTGAAGTAATTTTGTTCCATCCCAATGGCACGTCCATGAACCACTGCATTAACCTTTCCTCTCTAGCTCTGTTAGAGAAACAAAGAGTCACCAATTTGGGAGTGATAATGGATCCTTCCTTGAAACTTAACAGTCACGTAAATATGATTGTTAAATCCTTTTTTTTTTTTTTTTTCAGCTGAGGCAGCTGTCTAAGCTGAAGCCCATACTGTCCAAAAAGAATCTTGAGACAGTGATCCATGCATTCATAACATCCAGGCTCGATTACTGCAATGCGCTTCTGTTTGGAATCAATCAATCCTCCATTGCACGTCTACAACTGGTCCAAAATGCTGCAGCCCGATGTTTTACTGGTACAGGCCATAGAGAGCACATTACTCCAGTTTTGGCCTCCCTGCGCTGGCTACCCATTCACCTTCGGATCCAGTTCAAAATACTCATGTATGTTTTTAAATGACTGAACAGTTCTGCCCCATCTTATGTCACTGATCTTCTGCAGCCATATGTCCCACCGTGCTCTCTGAGGTCAGCAGACCAGATGCTCCTTTCAGTTCCAGAAACCTGTCGTAAGCTCAGAGGTGACGGGGCTTTCTCTGTTGCAGGTCCAAGACGGTGGAATGAGTTGCCACTGGGCGTCAGGCAGGCTCCCACACTCACAGTCTTTAAGTCTCGCTTGAAAACCCACTTTTATTCCCTTGCCTGTGACACGGTGTGATTTGTTTTGATCCTGTCTGTAATCTACATTGTTGGCCATTTAGTTATTATCCACCGTTATTTGTATCTATATTTTTATTTTATGTTTTCCTCTCCGCTGTGCTTGTTTGTTTCCGTTGTACAGCACTTTGGTTGGCCTTGTTGCTGTTTTAAGTGCTCTATAAATAAATTGGTATGGTATTCCTTCATTCCCTTGTGACTGTATACACTAAATGTTTGTTTCCAGAGTTTTTTAAGCACAAAACAAAACGCATATCAACAAAATCTGTTTCCAGCTCTCCTGGAAGGTAAGCTCCAGATATTTTTGAGACTCTAAAAAAATAGGGTTTTTTTTCAAGGCACAACTTGCTGATCTGACTTTTGCCATTTTTTATTCTTTTTGCCCTTCGGATGTTCACTTCCGCTGTCTTTCTTCATGCCTGTCAGCCCGTCAGCTGAATCACCTCTCATCCACACCACAGAGAAAAGATTGTATCATAACACCGGAAACAGCGAGGAGAAGAGAGTCACTCCCCTTTGACACCTTGTGCTCATTTAGCATTCACAGTCTCTCTCAAGCTTGTCCCAGACCGACGGAAAGACCTCAAATCAAAACATTCTGAAGGAATCGTCAAAGTGTTTCTGTACAAATCCATGATGCATGTCCTCTTTTAGTGCACGCCTCACCTGTTCGATCACATGGGCCTTTATCCAGCACTTTCAGAGGATGAGCTAATGCTAAACATAAATGTAAGCTTGCCCGGATACCCACAAGGGGAGCTCGAGTGAACTGGGTTTATCACTGCAGGACACTCGGGTCCAGTGCCAGGCTCCGTAACAAAGCGTTGTGCCGTTTGGCATATTCCTCCAGCATCTCAAATGGACTCGCTCCAGCTGAGAGCTGATGGAGGACGGAGGGAGAAGGAAAGTGAAGAGGATGTCTCAGCGTGAGAACTGTCAGCTCTGCCAAGAAAGAGCCGCTGAGGCCAGATGACACACTTTGAACAGATGACAGCGACCTGAGTTCTGGCCAACTGGGTTCCACCAGTGTGCTGATGATCTAAAACAGGAAGAGACAACAGAACTGGGCTGCCCCGTTTATATTCCTCTGTTTTTATTTCGCTTTGGCTTAATGTAACTCTGTTTTTTCAATCGTTGTTGTGTTTTCTCAAATTTAATTCCGTTTTTTGAAACGTCGTTCATTTACACCTCAGGGCCACCGTAGTTTAAAGCAGAACGGCGTCTCGTGGGTTGTTGCAAGTCAACAGGCAGGCGTGTGTTCCAGGTCCTTCGTTGTCAGAAGCAGTTTCCATAAACGGTGCTCGGTGAAATTCTAAAACCAGATATTCCTCACGTCCGTTCTGTCGTCTGTTGTTGCACGGAGCGAACATTTATTTCCCCACGCTTGTTTCTCTTGTAGCAGCTTTTCGAGCGTTTGGTGGCAGCACACTGATCTTGGATCAGGTGACGGCACGTCACGGTGAAGTTCAGTGTGTCGAGGTTACATCTGCTCCTCATAGCTGCCGTCTGCCCTCATGACTCATCCTTATGTTATTTTCATGGTTCTTACCTGAAGTCATGCCCAGTTGTTCAACGAGATGGTTTTATCTTCCTAATGACGACTCGCACCGACACCACTCCGTTTGTCTTGATGTGGTTGATGAGCCATAATTTAATTCTGCTTTTCAGAATTTGGGACTTTCCTTCCAGTAAATATCCTCATCCATCTCTAATGAATATTTTCAGTGCTCTGTAGTGGAAGAAGTCTACTTCAAGCTAATTAACAGTTCTACATGACAGCAGGTGTGAAGTTTGTGTGGGTGGATAGATGCACGTTTATTTCCATGCAGTTTTGTATGATTTTTATTATATTTACAGATGTAGGCCTCAGCAACAGACTGGTTTTCTGCTGGCTCACTAATAAACATGCATTGTTTGTTTTTATGTTTCTCTCAGAGACTCAGAGGGTCGTAAACTCTGCAAGAAGGTGAAGGTGGACCCGAGCTCCAAACGTGGAGGAGCAGAGCTGCTGCATTACAAGTGAGTCACCGAACACTCGTCCGGATGTCCGTTTCTCACAATACTCTTCTTTTAGGAAAAGACCTTTTTTACGTCTCAGTTCTGGTGTTGGATGAAGTGTGCCTTTTGTTTCTGGCAGAGACGGGACGTTCCACACGGAGTACAGCAGACCTGCTACCTTCAAGGTGAGCCATCAGTTGATTCTGCACTTTTTTAACGTCGTGTGATGCAGAACAGTGATGAACTTGCACAATAATTTCTGCTGTTTAACCTTTTGTCTGTAGTTTTTACTGTTGAGAGCTACGTTCAGTTAGAAATCCAGAATGTTAATTTCTTAAATGTGATTTTGCTGTATACAGATTTCATATTTTAACACTGATATTGAATGTAGATTCATTGTCTTGTTAATTTTGTTTATACTTAAAAACAGTTCCATTGTTTTTAGCAGTGATGGCTCAGACAGACATTCCTTAATGACATTTTTCATTTACCTTTGTAATTTTTTTAAAGTGGTCTTGGTCAGTATTTCTGTCAGACTTTGAATTATTTATTTGTTTATTTTTATGTTTGTGTTTTTGTCAACTACCTGAACATTTTCAGTGGTATTTTTCTTTAAGCCGCCCTCCTATGACCCATCAATGATTCAGACAGAAAAAGGCTCCTAAATGAAACCAAAACTATAAACAAGTGAAATTACTGAAATGTTTTACTGCAAAGCCCCGTTAGCCCCGAGTTTACTCTGGAAAATTACCAAACACCTACTTGTTTATTGTTTTTGTCTTTTTTTATCCTTCCACATGTGGGTCATAGCAGTTGATGTGGATTTCAAGTCTCACTTTACAAATAATTAAAATCTATAATCAGAGGTCTAGAGAATCCAGTATTATAGAATAAAGCATATCATCCAGCCATCAATCAATCAATAAATCAAACCATCCGTCAATCCATTCGTCAATTCATCCATCAGTCAATCATCCATCCATCAGTCCATCTGTCCATCTGTCAGTCAATCCATC